ATAAAACACACACTGGAGGCTGTAAGTGATCTTTTTCTGCTGGCAGCCAGGAAGAAGGAGTACTGCCTGACTAAGGAAAAGAGAAAAAGGCCTGGATGTATAAGCTGCTAGTTACACAGGTGAGAGATGTGGTGTGGTTTGGAGAATGTTTAGCCATTAGGTTTAGCCTTGTGTTATAGCCCAGGGGCTTGTGTTATTGTTTTTATTGTTGTTATACCGGATGACCAGTTGAGGCTATTAGGGGTTGGAGGAGGCCTCGTAGGGGTTCCATAGTAGCATGGGGACTCTAGTGCCAGAGAGGGTGCAACATTCAGGGGTGCAGTGACCCCAGCCCTGAGAAGGGGAGCAGAGGATTGGGGGCCAGGTAAGGCTGAGGCTGCCTGAGCCTCACAAGAGGTTTAAGACCCGAGGAGGAGATTTGGCGGCTAGGCACGGCTACAGCCACCTGAGCCCCAGTGTGAGAAGCCCTGGAGCGGGCAGTATGAGAAGACCTGGAGCGGGGACAGAGATTGACAAGTGCCAGGGAGCACAGTTGCAAGGCAATCCAGAAGCCCCGGTGGGGCGCAGGAGAGTGAAATCAACCAAACAACGTCCAGTACATCTGCAAGGCTTGGGACGTGGTACAGGGGTGGTTGGAGCCATGCATAACCCATAAGGCTGGGGTGCATTGAGTCACCCAAAATGGAACAGAGACCGAGATGCATCAGAGCACCATGTCAGAGAGGACAAAAGGCAGCTTCCCTTCAACATTGTTGACATCAAAGACGTGGCGGGTAAGATGTGAGGGTGCTTTAATACCACATTGGCACAGTAGGGGGTGCTAGGGGAGTTCACGGCCACCCCTAGGGCCCTGCGCTGTTACAGGAATCCATGCTGTTAAAAACATTCTAACCCGTTGTGATCTTTCCAAGCTTCTTGCAACAGAAAAAATATTCTATTGTTTTGTTTTGTTTTTTCCTGTGGGCAAACAAGTGAAAGCTAAGAGAGCATTTTCTGAAGGGTGGTGTGAGTTTAGCTGGGGGTTCCTGGAGTTTATTGAGGGATGCCTTGAGTTAGAGAAGGTTGACAACCACTAGACTATCAATTTATGATCTAATCCATAACAGATCAGGAATAAGATTATCATTCTGAGATACAATTTCCCTTGTCTCTCTTCTGCTTCACAGAGGCAATAAATTACAACATGGAGGTATTGCTGTGAGACACTCTGTCACTCTGTGACGCAGCAAGAGAAATTTGCTGCTAGCAACTTTTAGCAGTGGTGGTAGAGTTGAGGCTTCATCCTGCCTGTCCACTTGTGCAAAAGGGAAATATAGCAACTTTTCAGAGCCTGCTTCCATCTGCATGCAGGAAATGGTGATAAAGAGCGTGGAAGTGAGGTATACCTTATACCAATGAGAAGAACAGGATGCAAACTCTCCCTGAATTACTTGTGGTTAAGAGACTGTGATCTAAACCCATGGTTAAAGCAAGACACTGGGAACCAGATCCTCAGGTGGCATTAGTTTACTGTATTCGCAGCTCACTGATTCACTCTGTGATCCTCAGTCACTTAGGGCAGAGACAAATATCACCTTTGTACTGCCATAAACATTTTTATGAAGGCACAAAGGCTAAGCAAGCAGATGTTCATATCCATTGGTGCTCCATAAATGCTTCAAATTTGTGACTGCAACATAGCACCAATTCGTGCTGGTTTATTGCAGCAGACATCTGTTAGGTTTATGGTGGGAGAACACGGTCAGGCCAGAGCTGCCTGCACTCTTCAGCCTCTCCTGAGAGGCACTCCTAAGGTTTTGGGGGCCCAATCCTGGGTTCCCTTGTTTGGGATCCCCTGGGCTGGTTAGTAGTCTCACCAGAGCTGGCTTTCCCCATGTACAGACATGCCCCAGAGATTGCTCTGAAAGCATCTCTGCAAGGGGGGGAAACGCATCACCTGCTGTCCCTTGGGACCAACAGGCAGAACAACAGACAATATGTGCTTTGCTCCATGAAGTAAATCAGCTTGGATAGGTCACATCTTGGCACAGCTGATGACTTCCTTTGGCAACATCTATTTATACTCTTAGCCGCTGTACCCTAGTTTATTTGTATAAAGATAATTTTACTTACCGTATCCTATATAGATTTTTAGACAGTGATTTACAAAGTACTCATCTCACTCATGTGAGAGGTGTGATGGAAGTGAAAAGTATTAAGTGCAAAACCTTTTTTTTTCAAATAATGGGTGATGACAAAACTATCTCATTTAGAAAACCAAAGCATATAACCAGAACTTCTTGCCCTTAAACACATGCCTACTCTTTTATTCATTGATCTTTAAAAAACATGAACATAGTATAAATAATAAAACATCATAGGTTCTGAAATACTGTTTTAGTTTTTCTAAGCTACTGTACCACAGTTTGCACATCTCCTCATTGTTCTCAGTACCTAGGAACACACTGTATACAACAGTACTTCCTGAGATAAGTATGTAGTTCTGTGAACAGCAGAGAAACTACTTTACATTCCATTTCATTTGGGAGTGTATAATTTTATTCTGCCTTGGGCCAATGTTAATTATACAGCATCTTATGTCAACTGGGTTGAAAGACCTGAAGTTATATAAATGTGAAAAGACTAACATATGGGAACATGGAGGAGCTGAACTTGATCCGTGGATATTAGGCTACTTTATCTCTGTAAAGGACACAAGTCTGAGAAGATAAGCCTTGATGACCAATATCTATGTCCTCACTTCAGACTTAAGTAGCAGGATGGCATCTGTTAGGGGGTGCAGTTTCAGCTGAGTGCTCTAGAGCAAGTCTGTCCAATCTCAGCACAGCTAGGGCCTGCATACCCTATGGGCCATACACTATGGGGGCAGACTTCTGAGATCCCCAATCCTCCCTTCACCCCATGCTACACCAGTGGCACATGATCTGCTGGGATTTCCCATGATGCCTTATGGATGCTGCCAGCAGCATGCAGCTCCATGCCCCCTGCGATACAAGTTGTATGAGCGGTACATGGCCCCCTGCTGCAGGGGGCCCACTGGTGGTATGTGGCCCACCCAGGCACTCCCCTGCTGCACAGCATTGGAAGATATGGTTGCAGGGGACCACAGGCTGCATGCAGTCCACAGATCACCAGTTGGACAGCCCTGCTCTAGAATACAGGCCCTACTCTCCTTAACTTAAAAGAGAACAGGTGGTTCCCTTTAACGATATGTTTTTGTGACTTCACCTCAACTGAACTAAGGTTTGAAGGGTCTTACTAAAAACAAAAAGATGTGTTAAACATAGAGAAATGTCACCATAGCTTAGATTTAAGGTTGTTTTGCATATTTACAACTTGGCATGTTTGGTCACATGGGTCAAATGAACACTGAAAAAGGGATCTTGCTTCCCATTCTTGCTTGTACTTAAACCACTTTACAGTGTCTTCTTTTAATAATGGTCACCATTGGCGCGCACACTTTTTGGTCAGTACAACAGCCAAGTACAGAGGAGGACTAGTCAAGCAGGGGTTTGCTGCTTTGGTAACAGGCCTTAATTAAACTGGTTTGGAATCATGCTCTGTTAGCTTTGTATGATACTGGATGCTTTGCAAAAGTATCTAAGATAGCCCTGGATCTCAGCTTCTCATTGTGAGACTGCTTAAGCAGGTTAAGGTCAATATACCTTAGCATGGGGAACAAGCAGGAGGAACTCGCCCTCCTGCT